CTGCGAAACGTTAGAAGCCACGACTATTTCTTCAGTAGATGGGGACCTTTATCACCCTGTCCAGCAAGGTCTGTACCTATTGAACCAGATCAACAGGAGGAACACAAGTTTGCACGGGCTCATCTCTTCCTTGCTAATTTCATTCCTTGTTTCATGTCAGTTAGATCGCTCATTAGAGAGGGATGGAATTGGGTTGTTGCATTCTGACGTTGTATCGACACTCGCTTCAACGTTGTTCGCTTTTTTATGAGTGTCCCCCTTGTTTTAGCTATTCGGGTGTTTATTTTGTTGAGGCTTTCTGTTCAAATCAAAATTTTGACCGTCAAAACGTCTTTTATTGAGTGAACAGAAAGTTTCAGGCAATTTTTCATGATTCGATCACATTAGTTGGACCCTTTCAAAAATTGAGCTTCCTCCAATGTCTAGCAGAATAAGTAATTAGCTTTATTTCAGTTCTGGCGACCGATCACAGCCCTACTCTTTTACCCCGTCTCACCACAGACTGGTTTTCACTGGCTTCTAATGCTCTACTTCTTATATAATTACTCGAAAAATCTCGAAACCGGTGTCTTCTCTGGGCGACCTGCGGATTACCTTTACATGTTAATATTTAATTGGTTGATTTGCACGGTGAGTGTTCATTTTCTTTTGGAGCTTCCTTTTCTAATTACATTTGTATTTTATGGATTTCAATTTCTTTGTTCTCCAGTAGAAGTTAACGGGAATGGAGTGGTCCCATTATCTTTTCGCTAAGCACGTTCTTCTGCTCAGGACTACCGAGACGAACTACTTGAGTCCTGTAATTTGTAAACTTTTACGTAGTACTGCATCATGAAACGCTCATTTAGTCAATACCTTCAGCTTCCATGTTTCCAAGGGCGACCGATTACTTGACTGCTTGAAGTATCCCCAATGTTCGCTCTCGCGAAATTCTAGAGCGCGGTCGCTTAGATACGGTAGCTAATGCGATCCAGTAAGGTGATTCATGAGCCAGGGGTGGTGCGTGAGCTACTTTCTGTGTAACAGCGTTGGAGCGCGGAGGACACTACCAGTAAGTCATGAACCACTATTCAGGCAAAAGGGGTCAGACAATGTCAGTGCAGTGAATCTTTCAGAGGACCAAATTTAGGCGACCTTAGACTAGCACGGCTGAAGGAGACCTATGCATGCATGAATATGCTTGAATATAGGCTGGCAGTTGTAGTGACTTACGACTCGATTCCCGTTATATTAACCGTTAGTGGTGTAGCTGCTGCATAGATTTAAAAATGAATTTGGTATAAGTTTTCTACACGGCTATATTTCAGGGAATATGCATGGCCGCGGGGGTATATTTTCTGTTGGAACCGATGGTGTTGAGTGTTTTATATGTGTGGTGTCAGCTAAATAAAGACACGATTGTTTCATTCTGGTTCGGAACAACATTCAAGGTGAGCGGTCTTTTTTATGACATTACCAACTTTGTGTACCTTGTTTTATCAAGCATAGTTTTTACCCTGGGAAATTGTTCGATTAGGTACAAGTAACCGCTGTAGGTTGTTCCTG